CTGCCTGGAATCCCATGATCAAAGTTGTCCAGAACTCGACAGAATGTACTGATGCTCAGCAGGTAGTGTGGCTGTCTTTTCCCACCTGTGCTTTCCTGGGGCTTCATACGGTGCTGTGAGACCCAGTTTTGGCTGGGTGACACGTTTGGTTTTTTCAGTTCTTTGAAACTAGGATTGAGGTTGTTTGCATGACTTTTCCCTACAGTATGTGTGTGTGTGCATGTGTTCATAAAATTTCCATGGTGTTATTGATACCTTCCAGGTAAAACAAGCAGCATTTCAAGACTGCTCAGCCAGGTAATGGACTCTTACCAGTGAGAGGGCTTATTCCCATACTCAGCACCTTGCAGGTTCTCAGTCAGACCTTGGCCAGAGCTGGAGAGCTCCTGCCTTTGGACAGTCTGGTTGTATTTTGAGGGAAGCCTTATGCTCTCCCTCAGTGGTAAAACACTGTTAAAGGAACCTTTATTTGTTTTTATAATAGATTTGTCTTTTTATTTCTTGCTGTAGATTTGGCCTGGCACCTGGGCACCTCACATTGGAAACATGCATCTCAAGTACGTCAACTGATTTAAGGGGGTCTGTCCTTTTTTAGCCTGGTTTGGGAATCTTTATGACCTTGAAGAACCCTGGGGATTTTTTCATGTGCCTAACTAAGTGATTTTCTGTGGGCTGTAACAATGGAATCTCAATTGCCCGTTGTATAAGAACAAATTGACTTACCTATACAAACTGATTCTGTTCTCCAGTTAGTTTAGCCACTTCAAACTTAAAAATCAGACAAAACTAGTGCTTTTTTGCTAAACACTGCTGAATGCTCCTTGTATGCAGCAGAGAACTAGCTGATGACATGATTTTGACCTTTTAGGGTGGTAAATACCTGTATAATTGTTTACAGACTTACAAGGAAAAGCTGAGAAAATTTCATGTCGTATAGTGGCTCTACTTTATGTAGCCTGTATTAATGTGAAATATTTACCTGAATACTCAATAAAAGGCAAACAGCATTTATAGGTTGTGTGTGAGAATTTTGGAAAGGGCTGTATGTTATTGTCCCCAGCAGCTGCTGCCGTGCTCGGTGACACACCTCCCCATGGTCACATACTGAGCACGTGGGGGCAGTCAGGTTTGGGAGGGTTTGGAGCCACAGGGGTCTGCAGAGTCCTTGCCCCTGCCACTTGTGAGCCTTTTTTTGGTGTGAACCTGCTTCTGTGTTACAGTCTTTTCCTTCTGGATTAGTTCTGCTGCTTCTGGCACTTCTGGCAGGTGTCACCTGAGAGATCAGGTTTTGCTCAGGGCTGCAAAGAAGGGCTGACAACAGTGACAGGTGAATGCAGAGTTCTTCACCTGCCCAGAAGCAGATCTTAGAAAAGTGCTTCTCATTAGAGGAAAATGTAATAGCTTCAGTTATAAGCTTCTTGTAATGCTGTAAATCTGCTAAGAGCTCCTCAGGCCCTTTCTTAAGGAAGAAGAGGATTTTTGCATGCTGCTTAAGATGAATGTTAACTCCTGACCCAGTTCTCCACTTTCTGCACTTGGACTGTGCTTAGTTCTGCTTTTGCTCCAAAGCAATGCAGTAACTACCTGGAATCCATTCCTTAAGCAGGAAACTCCAGTGCACATAGTGTCTAATCCAATGCATCAATCTCAGACCAGGTGGAGACTTCACCTTCTTCCACCTTAACCAGACAAATCCTTACATGCAGCAGCAGAGTTTCCCTAATAAAAGCATAAAGAAGTACTGAAAACCCAAAGTACACAAGCAGTATCTATGTACCACAGACAAATCAACCTTGGAAGCACTACTAGATGGTATATTCAGATATTTTTCTTGGTATTTGAGGAAAAAATTTAAAAAAAAAGAAAATTGAACTGCTGCTGCCCCAGTGATAGTGCCAGCACCAAAGGAGATACACACAGAATGAGTCACAGAAAGGTTTGTGTTGGGAGTGGCCTTAAAGGTCACCCAGTCCAACACCCTGCTGTGGGCAGGGGACACATGTCAGCAGCCATTGTATTGGAAACAAGAGTGTTGTGGTGCAGTAGGTGTGTGCTCTCTGGGGCAGGTGCAGGGGAGGGCTGGGGTGCCCACTTCTGTGGGTTCCTTGGCTGCAGCAAGCAGTGTCACCTCCTCCTGTCCCATCCTGAGGGCTGCAGCTCCAGGGAGGGTGGCACAGTCTGCTCTGTGACACCACGGGGCAAGACCCAGGATGGGGGATGGGGTTGTCCCTGGAGCAGCCTTGGCCACCCCAGCCCTGCCTAACGTAGGCAGCTCTTTGCTGCATGGGTCCCTTGCTGGGTTCTTCCCTGCACAGCTCCTTCCCTGAGGACATGGGCACTTGCTCTGGGCACCAGATCCAAGTGGCCCCAGCAGCTTCCACTAAAATGGAAAAGGGAAACCCCCAAGTTTTGTAGGAAGATCCTGCTCAAAGTTCAGACCATCAGTGCCCTGTGGTTACAGGGGGGTATGGGCAGAGGCAGGGCCTTGTGCTTCTGGGGAGAGAGCTGGTGAGTGCAGTGCTGGTCCCTCAGGGCAGGCTGCCTGGATCCAGGGAAAGCATGGGGGTAACTAATGCCAGAGTCTGTGCCCACTTGAGTTCACCAGCCCTGGGTGGCAGGGCTCCCCCAGACCTGTCCTTCTCGCCCCTTCTGACCCCCTGGGTCAGCCACTGAGCAGGTCTTGTCTTTGCTGTCTGTCCTCGGGGAAGCATGTGCCTCATTCCTGAGCTGGCCATGTTTGGGTTGAGCCACAGGTGCCCGCCCTGTGGGCACTGGCTCTGTCTGTGCCTTCACTTAAGCTTCTCTGGGGTGAGAGAGCTCAGCCTGGCGCTGCAGGGCCGTGGCAGATGTGGGCTGTGTGAGGTGTTTGCAGTGCCCAGCAGGAGCTCCAGGCTCACTGGCACCTCGGGCAGCAGCTCTGGGCTCCCTGGAACCCTGGGCTGCACCCACTGCCAGAGCCTGGCAGGGAACTGGTGCTGGGCTGCAGGGAGGGATGGGCAGGGGATGGCAGGCCTGGCACACAGGCTGGTGCAACCTCAGGCATTGCTGGCAGGCAGTTGGAGCAGGGGAGAGGCAGCGTGTGCCCTGGGTGGACATTGCACACCCAGCAGGCTGGAGGAGATGTCCCATCAAAGCCAGCTATTGTTCTCCCGCAGGGAGCAGCAGGTGGCTGGCTGAGACAATGGGAACGGGTCCCCAGGGTGCCCACCGTGGGATACCCAGCCCTTGCTGGTCCACCCTGGAACAGGGTGCCACACAAAGCTGTTGCTGCCTGGCTGGGGCCTTGCTGTTTGCCCCAGGACTGGCCCTGCCCTCCAGGCAGCACAGCGGTGGCCTGTGTTGGCCACCATGGGGTAGCCCTTGGGAGGCTGGATCCCCTTGTGCTGCATCCTGAAGGGAAGGAATAATGTGGGGAATAGCTGCTGAGCAGGATGGGTGTCACAGGCTGCCAGACGTGGTGGCCGCAGAGCCAGATGTGTCCGTGAGCCATGGCCGAGCACTGGGTCCCACCCCTGCTCTGGGCTGAGGTGCTCAGGGCGGGGGTGGCCAGGGCCAGCAGTGCCTGACAGCCCCTGCTTTTGGCAGGTACCCGCATCATCTGCGACCGCAAGTTCCTGCTGGAGTGCAAGAATTCACCCGCGGCCAGGACCCCTCCCTGCTGCCTGCCCCAGACCCCCGGTGTCACATCCCTGGCCCAGTCCAGCCTCGTCAAGCTGGAGGAGCTCAAGGGGCGGAATGAGAGCGAAGAGGCCATGCCAGGTGAGCAGCCCAGGCCACGGCCCCTGCCCAGGGCATGGGACAGGGCGAGATCCCAACCCAGCCCCAGTTGCAGCTCCTGCTCCCTTTGCCTGCCCCATCCTAACCCTGGTCCATCCGTGCTCTTACAGATCAAGACCAGTTTGAGATGGACATCTGAGTTTCCATCTCCCCGTCTCCAGGCCATGGCTGGGCCTGTTCCTGGGCCTCGTGGAGGTGCTGGCACCGTGACCAGCTGGCTGCAGCCCTCTCTGATGCTGGGGATGGACGTGTGACACCTCAGGCTCTAGCACAAGTGGCTGGTGCAATTGCCTAGGAGCTCATGCTTGATCAATAAACACCGTGAAACCCCTGTGCTAACATGGTGTGTCTTTGTCAGGGCTTAGTGGGGTCCTTGTCCCCAGGGAGGGGAGGTGAGCAGCACCAGGAGGGTGCAGAGGGTGCCTTGCAGGTGGGCTTGGTGAGGGCCTGGGTGTCTGTTCTCAGCTGTGGTGGAGGCAGCTGGTGAGGCCATCCAGTGAACTTGGGGAGGACAACACAGTTAACACCTGACTAGGCATGTGTCTGTCCCTGGGCCTCCCCTGAGGTCCCCCAGCCCTCTTGGCTTCTAGACTCAGCTCTGAGCTGTGCCACGACAGCAGGAGCCCAAACGGGAGCCAGGGCTGTGGGTGCAGCACAAACCCTGGTCATGCCAGGGGCTGTTGGAACATCGGCCTCTGCAGCAGGGCTGGCCTCTGGGGCTTGCTTGCAGGGCCCCCACTGCCAGCTGAGGGGACAGGCTTTGCCAGCCAGTGCAGCAGGGACACACAGTACTGCCTGCTCCAGGCAGATGCTGCATTCTTCCCTTGACATGGCCAAGGCTGTTGAAGCAGCCATGGCCTCACCCAGCAGTCCGATCTCCTGCTGACCCTGGGAGCCCCAGGACTGTCAGTGCCCAGAACCCTCAGGGAGACTGTGGGAGGGGGCAGGTTGGTGCTGTTTATTAAACATAATGAATCGCCACTAAAATGTCGCAATGATTAAAATCCCCTTTTCCTGGATGAGGATTGGGAGGCAGAGGGGGTGCCCAGACTCCCTCCAGCAGCAGGGGCCCTGTTCCTGCCGGTGGCCCTGGGTGGGGGCTGCCCCGCTCACAGTCCACAGCCCCGTCCCCGGTGTCAGGGCTCCTCCTGCTCCAGCTCGGCCGCGGGCTCAGTCGCGGGCTCAGTCGCGGGCTCAGTCCCGGGCTCGGTGTCAGCGCTGCCGTCTGTCTCGGCGGTGGGCAGGTCCCGCGTCTCAGCGATGAGGCGCTTGACGCCCACCATCCACTGGCTCACCTCGTTCACGTGGTCCACCATAAGCGAGCGGTGGATCTCATCAGCTGCATCCCAGCGCTGCTGCTGAAGCTCTGCCGGGACAGGGGCACAGCCCCGTCAGGGGAGCAGGATCCGCTGTCCCGCGGGTGCCTCTGCCCCAAGGCCTGCTGCTGGTGCGGCTGCAGCCCGCTCCACCCCATACCTTGTACCAGGAGGCTCATCCTCTTCCTCACTGGTGCCGACAGCTTCCCCTGAGCCCACGAGTCCTCCAGCACTGTCAGCCGCCGCCCGATGTCATTGCACACTTGTTTCTGGAAGCAGAGGTGAGCTGGGAGTGAGGGGGATGTGCCCCCACCAGCTCTGGGGAGCCCCGGGGCAGGGGCGGCTCTCCTGGAAGCCGGCAGCCCCAGCCCGGCTGCTCCGGTGCCGTCCGTCCCGCACCGCGGCTCACGGCGGCGGGAGCGGCCGCGGCCTCACCTGCACCGTGGCCCGGCAGGCGTCCAGGGCTGCCCGCAGCGGGACAAGGACGGCGTCGGCGGACACGCTGCACTCCTCCCGCTCCGGGCACGCCGCGCTCGGCCGGCCCTCGGCCCGCGGGGCAGAGCCCTGCGGGGGCGGCTGACCTGGCGGTGCCCCCGCGGGCGGAGCGGGGGCCCGGCGGGTGAGCGGCGTCCGGCGGGAGCCCCCGGCCTGCGCCTGCAGCCCGTACGAGAACTGGGGGGGGTCGTTCCAGCCGCGCTCCTGGTTCCCTGCAGCAGCGAGCGGCGCCGTCAGACCGGAGGAGCCCCCGCGCCAGGCGGGACCCCCGGCGCGTCCCTCCCGGCGCTCCCCGCACCCGGAACGGCCCCGGCGCCCCCCACCCACGGGCCCCCGGCGGAGCCGATCGCCGGTCGCGGCCCCGCCCGGGCAGACCCGCGGGACACCGGCACCGGGACCCCCGCACCGGAAGTGCCGCGCGCGCCCCGCGCCCCCTCACCCGGCTTCACGTAGGACTCCGCCATCCCGCCACGTCACGCCCGGCCCCGCCCCTTCCGGCCCGTGAGGCGGGGATGGGCGGGAGGGGGCGGGGCCGGGCCTGTCCCGCCCGGCCCGGCCCCGGCCCGCCGCGCTCTTCGCCTTGGCCCCCGGCGCGGCGGCCACCAGGCACTTCTGGTACTGCACCTGCGGGGACACGAGAGGCAGCGCGGGGCACTCGGCTCCCCGCCGTGCCCGGCCGCGGGGCCGCCGGTGCTCACCATGCAGGCGGCCTGCACCGCCTCCGAGATGGTGCCCGCGTCGGGCTCGCACCAGAAGGCCGCGCACTGGAAGCGTCGCCCCGTGTCCACGATGAGCGCGAAGGTGTGCGCGTCCCGGCCCACGCCCAGGAAGGTCACGTACCGCACCTGGCACTCCCAGATGTGCGCCGCCTCCTCGGGCTCCTGCGGGGACCCGCGGCCCATCCAGCCCGGCAGCCCCCGGCACCCTCTGCCCGGGGCCCGTCCGGCCGCAGCCCCCGTGCCCTCCCCACCTGCGCCGGGTGCACCCTCATGGCCGTGTCCGACACGTAGATGAGGGACGGCGTCCAGTTCTCCCGCCCAGGGCGGCTCGTCAGCTTCTCGATGGCCTCGTTCAACACATCCATCCCTGGGGAGAGGGACAGCCCGTGCCACCGGCCCCGGCTGCGGGCGGGGGCCGCAGGAGCCGCCCGGCGCCAGGGCACGGCTCCGGCACGGCGGGGCTTCCCGGGCGTCCCGCAGCTGCGGGGGAGCAGCGGCGCTTACCCATGGCCCTGGGCACGGGCAGGCTGCCGATGTACAGCGCCTCGTAGGTCTGCATCGACTGCCTCACCGCCTCTAGGATATCCACTGCCGGGACGGGAGAGGGGCAGCTACATCTGTGTGCCCCGCTGTGTCCCCCCATCCCCAAGGGCCCCGGGGAAACAGCCGGACAAGGCAGAGGGCTCTGGCTCGCAGGAGACTGTGGGCAGGGGGAGCAGTGCTGGGGGACGGTACCTTGCAGTGGCAGGTCCTCGGCGGAGATGGGCTCCAGCGTGGCGGCGCGGGGCAGCCTGCTGCTCGCTACAGCTCGCTCGGCCACGATCTGCAAGAGACCGGGATCCCGGAGCCTCCCCTCACCCCCGAGATCCCCGGGCTGTGCTCACACCCTCTGGGGCCCCTGCGTCCCACCTTGGAGCACATCTCATGCAGAGCCTTGGCGATGCCCTTGGCAGGCACATTGCAGTGGAAGACGTGACACTTGAGGACGCAGGTGTCCTTGTCACTGGCCACGAAGGCGAAGTCTCTGCAAGGCCACGAGCAAGCCAGTGAGACCCCGACAGAGGCAGCCCCCTGCCTGTACTGCCCCCCAGCCCTGTGCCCCCTTACCTGTCCCTGCAGCCGTGGTGGCAGTCGGGAGGGAGGAGAGGGGACAGGTCACTGCTGGGGTGCCTCCCCCCAGGCGGGCAGAGCCAACCCCTGGCCCCCAGCTCTGCCCTCGCCCCTGGCACCTGCCGTTGTTGCAGCCAACGCCCCAGACACGGATGTTGAGGATGGGCTGGCGGTGGATGAGGCTGCGGTCCAGGGGGTCCACCAGGCTCATGGTGTCCTTCTTCAGAATCATCACTAGGTCCTGGCCCTGCAGAGGGGCAGTGGTTCCCTCAGCCTGGCAGACAGCCCGGGCATCCCTGGCACCCAGCCCCTGTGCAGGCAAACCCCTTCCCCATCAGCCTGCTCTGCCCCAGCTGTGGGGTCAGCTCTGCCCTTCCCAGTTACCGTTGCCTTGTGTGGGGACCCACCCAGCAGTCTGGCTCTGTTCCCAAGGAACAGCCCTGTCAGACCCACCTGCTCTACAGCCAGGACCATCGGATGGATGCCCTGTGCAGAGAGGTGACTCTACCACCTGCTCCCTTTTCAGCACAGTCCAGCCTCAGCAACAGCGGCCTTGGGGTGGGACCCTGCCTGGCAGCACCATCCCAGGCTCTTACCTCGCCCTGGCCCTCCGCAGAGCCCTGGCCCTTGCTGTTGGAGAGCTGCTGGATGCAGTTGTTGACGGCGATGCTGCTCTTGCCAGGTGCCAGGTCCTCCTCGGGGATCTCCACCCAGCCCAGAGAGCGCACAGCAAAGCACTGAGCAGCGACACGAGGGGCTTCAGTGCCACTGGCACAGCCCTCTCCGTCCCGCACGCCTCACCGTGCCAGAGTGGTCACCCCTGCTCTGGCTCCCATCCACGTCCCTGCCAGCTGCCACCCTCCTCCTGTTCTGCCAGCACAGCCCACGATGCGGCAGTGGAGCTGGCGGGTGCAGTACCTTGGAGCCGGGCTCTGCGCCGTGCTGGAAGTCATCCCCATGCCAGGACAGTGAGTGCCTGCAGAGGGATGGGGCAGTGAGGGGCAGCTCCCTCTGCGTGCTCCTGCGGCACCCAGGGAAGCATCAGGATGCTCTGGAACCAGCAAACCCCCATGCCACCAGCTGGGAAGCATCCCATGGGGGTGCCCAGCATGGTCCTGCTGGTTTCAGCAGGGGGGCTGCTCTGGGGGGAGCACCAGGGCCCAGCACAGCTCAGGGATCAATGGCAGCCCACAAACAAGCCAGCAAAGCAGAAGGAGAGCCCTACCTCCGGGACAGCGAGGCCATGGGGCTGGGAATGGGCCGGTCCTTCGCCGAGTGCTTCCCTGCAGGGCCCTGGCATTCCTGGGAGAGAAGAGGAAAGGGGTGACGGCTGCAAGAGAGGCAGGCAGGAGGCACCAGGTAGGAGCCCTCCCTCCCAGGACTGCAACAAGCTTGTGAGTGTCCTGGACAGTCGAGTCCAACTAGTCCCTCCAGGATGGGGCCTGCTGGAGCCTTTCAAAGGGCTTAACCCCAGACATGAATGGGCTGAGCAGGACTGCAGGGTCACACAGACAGGGTGCTCCAAGGGGAGGCTGGACCAGTCATGCCCAGAGGGTCCTTCAGCAGGATTCTGCCAGGGGTGGAATCCAACACCAACCCTCACACCCCTGCCCACATTCCCTACCCTTCCCTGGAGTGTCTCATCTCCATCAGCCTCCGTGTGCCCTCCTGGGCCGGTGCTGCGTGCAGGGTGCTGCCACTGTGTCGTGCCTGTTGGCACATGCCAGTAATAGGTACCCAGAGAGTCACAGATTTTCCTCCAGCCTGGGGGAAGGTCAGGGTCTGTCTCCAGGCTCTGGTCACTCCAGAGGTTGTCTGTTCACAGAGGCAGTGTGAGATACGGGGTGGGGAGAAGGATTCCCCAGCTGCCCTGAGGAGCCACAGCTTTGCCCAGCAGCAGAAGGGTCCTGCGGCGGCCTCTGGGTGCGTGGCTGGGTGCATGGGCCGGGAGAGCAGCCTGGCGAGGGAACATGGCACGATGCCAGCGAGGCTGCAGCAGTAGCAGACCCCAGTGCAGGGAACTGCCTCGCTGGCTCCCGGGGGGACAGCGGAGCCCCGGCAGGGCACGGAGGGCAGGGGCAGCCTGGGCCTGCCGGGCCGGGAGCCCTGCGGGGCACCCAGGCTCAGGCTGGGCCCGCGGCCGCCAGCCCAGCGCCCCTGCCCTCGGCCGGGAAAGGGGCCGGGAGAGAGCCCAGGTCCGGGCAGAGGATTGAGCCCCGGGGGCTGCAGGCAGAGGGTGCGATGGCCGTGTCCCCGCAGCCCCAGCCGTGCGCGGGCACCGACCCGAGCCCGTGGCGCAGCTCGGCCGGAGCGAGCCGGGGCCGCGGGGGCGGCGCGCTCCGACCGGCCGGGGCCGTGCGGGGCTGCGAGGGTGGGGACACCTGCATGTGGAGGTGCCCCCGGAGCGGGTGGGCTCCCGGCGACCTTGGCGGGGCGGGGAGCGGCCGGGCCGGGCCGGACGCCACGGCCCCGATCAGCACCGCGGACAGCGCCGGGCGCGGCCGCCGCTCCCACCCTCGGGGCCCGGCCCCGCAACCCCGCACCGGCCCCGCAGCCCGACCGGGGACCCTCAACCCGACCCGGGACCCGCAACCCGACCCGGACCCCGCAACCCGGCACCGGCCCCACAACCCGACCCCAGCCCCGCAACTCGTCCCCGCTCCTGCAAGCCGCCCCTGAGCCCGCCGGCCGTGCCCGTGCCCGTGCCCGCCCTGCCCGCCGCGCTGACCGTCGCAGTTGACCAGGACGATGGCCAGCATGTAGTCCTTGCCCAGCATGGCCCCCCGCCCGCCCGGCGCGGCGCCGCCGCCGCCTGCCCAGGCCCGGAGCGCGGCGGCTGCGGCGGAGGGGCGGGAGCGGGGCGGGCCGGGGGCGGGGGCTGGGTCCGGGGCCCTTGGGGTGTGTCTCGGGGCAGAGGGTGGGATCCTGAGGAGGAAAGGGGCTTTTGGGGCTGGAAAGGTTTCTGAGTGCGCTAGACAGCAGAGCCAGGTCAGCCCTTTGTGCCCTCAGGTTCGTTCCCCTCCCTCCATCCGCTCTTAGGGTTCCTTCATTCCCTTCCCTGTCCCCACAGATCACCATTCTTCCTCTCCACCCATGCTTATCCCATGCTCATTGTCCATTCATGCCCAGTTCTGCCCAATCCCTCCACCTGTGTCCAGCCTCCATCAGCCAGTGATGAAGTCTGTGCTGGTTACCTTCCCCTTCTCACCGGGGCCAAGAGCTTTGCATCTCCAGTTTGAGACTTCTTTCCATTCTATCTTGGCTAATGATCAGCACACGGGGACAAAAGCTCTGGAGACATTTGTTGTACACCTGAATTCCCCAGGGAGCTCCCTGAGTACTGCTCAGGAAAAAGTCCTTCCAAGCTACAGGTGCCTGATGAAATATTCCAAGATGAGTTGCTATAGGTGCCTTCTCCAGACAGTCCTTCACGGCCTCTCCACCTTTTCTTCTTCAGAGCAGATTTTGAATATGTAGAATGAATTTTCCATGCTTGGTCCCTCTTTTTCTTTGCTTGGTCTCATTCATGTGTTCCATGGGATAACATGCCCCTGATTTTGTGAGACACCCTCTGCTCCTTTATGCATTTTAATCTTGCTCACCTGGCCCGAGAGCAGCACCAGCTCCATAATCCAGTTTTGCAGCTGTCCACAATAATTTCTGTCTCCATTGGCAGCTCCTTTTTTGGATACAGGCTTTTTCTTCTGCATCTGTCCAGAGCTAGTCAGATTTCTAACACTCCATTCAAGCACTGTGTCCTTGGGACATTATTTCCCTAACCCAACCCAAACCCACAGAGCAGAGCAGGGGAGGCTCGTGGCTCCCTGTGCTCAGATGTGTCTGAGGGGTCACAGGTCTCACCTTAACTTCTGCTTTCCCCAGATTCCACCTTAGGAGTGAGCTCCCCCCTACCAGCACCGAGTTTTTTATGGTGACTGCTAATGCTCTGGGATCCTCTGGTGCACATCTCTCCTTGTCCTTATCTCAACACAATTTCACTTTCAAAAACCACACTCAGCTCATCAGACAGGAGGCAACAACCCCAACACAAACTGTCCCCCTCCTCCTCCTCTGGCTCATCCAAGCCCACCAAGGCAACTCTCTCCTGGCAATGTCATGAAGCTTAAGGGTGATGATGGCCCTGGTGATACCAGACTTGGAGCAAGGGAGGAGAATTTGGGGATGGTGCAGAGCAGAACCCATGGACTGTATGAAATGGCATATGGGATGTTTCATGGGAAGGGGAAAGGGAGGGACCAGGGGAGGAAAAAGCACAGGAAGACAGAAGGAAAAGAGAGAAAATATTCTGGTGGTGTGTGGGCAGTGGTAGATAGGCTTGCCAGCCTCGGCAGCATGTTTCAGCACTGCAGGCTGTCCTAGACCCTCATGAAATCATCTTTCTTCTGTGCAGTGGTGCTCCTTGTTCTGAGCTGCCTGTGTGAGAGTGGGGAAGATTTTGGTGGTTCACAAGAGGAAAAGGATAAGGAAAGTGCAAGGGTAAGGAAAACCTATACCCATTATTCTTTCCAGGGAAAGGTGTGAGACATTTTGTAATTCTACAACTCATAATTTTCTGGTGTTGGCCCTGAAGAGTGAGAGATCTGGGTTGGGTTGGGTTTGGTTTGGTTTGGGCCTGAAGCAGAAGCACAGTGGCAAGTGTCATTTTTGGTGCTGGGTTAGAAACCAAAACTCTTCTTCTGGCCTGAATAATTAAATCCTGGAGAAGGGGAATAAGACTTCTCCTTGTAAAGATTGAATTTTATCTTCCTAGTACAATCACCAGCTAGATCTCTTCACAGTATAAGGGGGAGATCTCTCAGCTCCTCTGACACTTCCCTCAAAAAGAGAAAAAACCACTCACATGGCTGGGTTCTCCAGCAGTCTGGGTTCTCAGATCTGTCAGCTGCAGATCAAAACACTCCTAAAGAGGCTCATTTAATGAAAACACTCCATGGCTGCAATCAGATTCAGATCTCAGCAGGTCCAGCTCAGTTTTACCTAAGATAACAAAATAGATGACTTGACTCCAAACCAGATCTTTTATATATGCCATATTTCCAGGGGATAAACATACAAGGTTTCTCTCTGCACTGCTCCTGAGACAAAAGACAGAATCCCCCTCAAAGAAAATAACCACTTTCCATCAGGTAATTTTTCTGGCATATCTTCATTCACTCTGGAGAAGGGGGTTTCTAATGTGGCAGATCAATAATTTTGATAAAGAAATCAAGTGAAATATTAGGTAACAATTCTACTTTTCCACTACCTTCCTCCCAGCTATTGGAAAACCAAGATCATGCTATGCAGCCCAGACTCAATTATCTGTAGTTATCAAATATCCCTGTCCCAACACCTCACCTGGCAGAAAAAAATACAGTTTAAGCTGTTTCTGTGTTTCTGTGCTTCCACCATCACTTTATTTCCACCTCAATTGTGCAAGTCAAGCAGAGACAAAAGGAAGAAGCCACAAGATGAACTAAGACAAGTCCAAACCAACCCCCTAAATCTATGGAACCAAAACTTTGAAAAGCAGAATAAAATCCCAGGGTATCACATTTGAAACTGTAACTCCAATAAGCCTTTTTTGGTTGGTTTTTTTTCCTGTTTTACTGCCTGGTTCCTGTAAACAGCACTGACTTGCAGAGCTGCTGTGAGCTATTGGCACTATGGATTTCATTGGTACACGCAGTTCCATCCCATAGCCCACAGAGTTCTCTGGAGCACTGCCTCTCTGTAAGTTTTTTAAGAAATGCTGTTAATATCCCCTGATCATTTCACACCTCTCTTATAATACAGAGTGCAGAAGTATCCATCGTTTCGATTTCTCAAGCTGCTTCACACACACTCAGATAACACATTTAAATTTTGCTGTCACCCACTCCTCATCCATCTCAGAAAGCCTGGGGGTGGGGTTTGGGATGAGGAAATCGATTCCCTGCCAGTTTGAAGCGCACACACTCTGGAACACAAACAATTAATCTGAGGAACCAGTACTTCTCAAAGGAACTCAAAATCAGCAGCTAAAATGTTGAGTGTTAGTGAGAGCAAATGCTGCTCTTGGCTTCACCTAATTTCTTGGAGACAGTTCTGATGCTTCCCAGAACCAGCACCCCAGGCCCCAAACAGCTTCAGCTACATCATTAGTGGAGAAATCAATCAGAACTTTGCAGCTCCTCAACCACTGGATCACCACTGCCAACTGGCTGCTTTCCTTTGCTAATTCACAGAATTCCTTCTAGTGATGTGAAATTATATCAAGAGGTTCTAAGCATATTTTGACTGCTTTAAACTAAAATCTAAATTACCTCCATTGCAGGAGAACTGCTCTCTTATTAATTAGTTCCACCACCTAATAGTTATGATGAGTAGAGACTTGAGGTACATGCTAAAAAGCATCAAAAGGAAACATATAAACCTTAAGCTGTATAAATATGGGGGGAAATGTTGCATCAGCATCAAACTTCAACTTCAGGAATATCCTTTGTCTTCATTTAAGCCAGGTAAGAATTAGTGCCTGGTGTTATCACTTAGCATTTTAATATGAGTACTATTTAATTTTATTTTTTTTAATTTCTAAGCTGAAAACTATGCAATTTACTTCTATTCAGCAGTTTATGAAGAGGAAGCTCCTCTGGCCTTATTGTTAAGGTAAAACACAGATTATCACCTCATTTCTGCACGTTTCAGCATTTGAAACAGTTAATCAGCCCACTGAGGGGCTGAAATCACTGGATAATGTCTGAAATCACTGAACAGTTTCATATTTTGTATTGCACTAGGTTTGTTCTTTTTTCTTTGGTTACTACCAGAGCCATCAAAAAACAACAACAAAAAAATCTGGGTTTGTTTCATTTTCATGATGAAATTAGATGCTTCATTTACTAAAAAGGTTCAATTCATATTTACTATCTATGCTCCCATTTTTAACCCTGCTGGAAGCTTTTATTTCAACAGCCCAATGCTGACATGCACAAAAGTGTAACTGCAAACAGAAATGAATGTCTAAAAATGTAATTAAACATTCTAAATTGAAAAGATCAGCAAAGGTGGCTTTCAATGCTCTTCTTTGCCCTTTTTATCATCCATTAAGGTTGAAAAGTACCTCCAAAAATGATTGAGTCCAACCTGTGACCAGCCACCACCTTGTCAACCAGACTGGAGCGCTGAGTGCTGGGTGCAGCTGTTTTGTGCACAGTTCCAGAGACGGTGATTTCACCCTGCTCTGGACAGCCTGTTCCAGTGCTTATCCATCCTTTCCATGCACAAAGTCCTCCTGATGTTCATCCTGAACCTCCCCTGGTGCAGTTTGAGGCCATTTCCTCTTATCCTGTCCCTTATTCCCTGGGAGAGGACTCTGATCTCCACCGTCCTCTCAGGGAGCTGAAGACAGCGAGAAGGTGCCCGGGTGTCCTTGTCTCCACCCTGAGCCCCCAGCTCCCCCTCAGAGCACTGACACTGCAGGCCCTTCCCCAGCTCCACTCCTTTCTCCGGACATGCAACAGCCCCTCGAAGTCTTTATTGCCATGACGGGCTCAGAAGTGGATGCAGCACTCGGGTGGGGTTCACCCAGGACAGAGAGGAGGTCACCGGCCTGTCCTGCTGGTCACATACAGCAGCCACAGGCGGGATGCCCGTGGCCTCCTGACCCTCAGGGGCACACTCTGCCTCACGTTCAGCCACGGTGAGCCAGCATGCCCGGGCATTTTCCATCAGGGCAGCGTTCCAGCCCGTCTGCCCGAGCCTGTGCCGCTCCGTGCACGGCCTCGCCCTTCAGCCACTCCCGGGCACTGCCTTATGCACCTTGTCCCTCCACTGACTATGGCTCACCTGCCTTCTCCTCCCTACCCCTCCC